TCTCTTGCTGGAACTCTCTGGTCTCTCTCTGGTTTCTCTTTGTCTTCATATGGTCTCTCTCGGGTCTATCTGGTCTCTCTCTCTCTCTCTGGTATTTCTGGTCTTTTTCTCTGGTCTCTGTGTCTCTATCTGGTCTCTCTGGTCTCCCTCTGGTCTCTCTCCATCTCTCTCTGGTCTCTCTGTCCCTCTCTGGTCTTTCAGATCTTTCTCTCTGGTCTTTCTGGAAACTCTGGCCGAAATGTTTGCATGAATGTGGGACTAATCAATTCAGTGGATTTTTGTATCGCCCTAAATCACAACAGCCGTTATCTCTGAGGACTTTACAAAACTGTCGGTTCGCCAAGATCAGAGAATCAAAAAGTTCAAGCTCAAGAGATGCAACAATAAAAAACATATCGAAATAAACTAGATATACAGTAAAAGTCGCCAAAGACCAAAAATGCACATAAGAGGAGTGTATTTTCACTTCCAAATTAAAAAGCCATCAAATTGACTGCTTTGTTTGTCCAAGTGTTAAGCAACTATTTAATGTCCAATATCTCAATATTTTTTTACAGAGTCAAAGAACAAGAACGAGAGGAAGACAATGGAGCTGGAGCCTAGAACCACACGGCTGCAAATCCAGGACTCGTACCACAGCTGCGCCCAGATGTGGTAAGCACCAACACACATGTCAAGGAATTTTGGCACATTACTCTTTCCAATTCTCTCCACAATAGATTCATAATCATTCATTTAATATCCATCCACTCCCACTGCACACAGCTTATTACATTTTGACTCAAATCTCAAATCTGTTGCACGTCTGTTGTTGGATCGATGCTCTTATGGGTTACCCATTATTGCTGAGAAAAGCGAGATGGCGGCGGTAATAATGCGGCGGTCACTGGAGAGGCGCGGAGTAGGATTTGGCTCATTTGCACAGAGATACACCAGAGATACTGAGCTGGAGGAATCAATAGAAGCTGTATGTGTTGTCTCATGCCTTGAGCCCCACTGACCCATATGTGGGCCGGACCACCATCACACCCAGGAAAATAGAGCGGGAATTGATACCGGAACAGTTTTCCCACCTGGAGTCCTGGCTCTGGACCAGACAAGTACATACTGTAAATAAAACCGGCTAAAACAGTACAATTGTTGCTGTGAAATATATCGACAAAAAACAGCTAAAATACAAGTGCAAGATCAATAAAGTGCTTTGTTCAAACTGACAACAGTTTGTGGAAAGAAGCTTTTAGCATGTCCTGCATCTCAGCAAACAATGGGCCTCATTCACGAACGGTTCTTAAGAACAAATTTGTCTATGCGGTCTCTCCTCGGGCCGCCCTGGTTTCTGTGTGCTGGTCTTTCCAGTCTGTCTATGGTCCCTCTTCGGGTCTACAAAATATTTTGAGATTAATCTCACAACATTTTGAGATTCATTTTAAAATGAATACATAATATATTTTTAAGTTAATCTCATAACATTTTGAGATTAATCTCATAGTATTTTTAGATTAATCACATAATTTTTCTAGTTTGACTTTATACTCATACTATTTTGACTTTAAAGTCAACATGTTTTGACATTATTCTCAGTTTGGCAAAAAAAGAAAAAAGGGTGACTCTTTTGCTCCGTGTAACTCTTTGCTTTAGGTCTGTTGCTGTTTCCTCTGGCGTCTGCACACGGCCCTGCAGTCCCTTATATGGGCATTAATGGGTGGTTACCTGTGCTAAGTACCTATGCTAATGAAGCACCTGGCACACGCGCTCTACTTACGAGGAGCTGTTCTCTCATCAATCTGAGAGAACAGCCTCAACAACTCAAAGTCCTCTTTCAGAGCGAAGCATCTTGTTTGGAGCTCTCCTTTCTTTGGCTGTAATGTCACCAAACAACTCAATCTCATAACCAACCGTCTCTCTCTGGTTTCTCCCTGGTCTCTCTCTGTCTGGTCTCTCTCTGTCTCTCCCTGGTCTCTCCCTTTCGCTGTCTGGTCTCGCTCAGGTCTCTCTCAGGTCTCTCTCAGGTCTCTCTCTGGTCTCGCTCAGGTCTCTCTCAGGTCTCTCTCTGGTCTCGCTCAGGTCTCTCTCAGGTCTCTCTCAGGTCTCTCTCTGGTCTCGCTCAGGTCTCTCTCAGGTCTCTCTCAGGTCTCTCTCAGGTCTCTCTCTGGTCTCGCTCAGGTCTCTCTCAGGTCTCTCTCAGGTCTCTCTCAGGTCTCTCTCAGGTCTCTCTCAGGTCTCTCTCAGGTCTCTCTCTGGTCTCGCTCAGGTCTCTCTCAGGTCTCTCTCAGGTCTCTCTCAGGTCTCTCTCAGGTCTCTCTCAGGTCTCTCCCTGGTCTCGCCCTGGTCTCTCTCAGGTGTCTCTCTGATGTTTCCCTAATAACAAGACGCTGACATATTTTCTTAACAAACTATTTTGTGTTTAAGTCCCACTTCAGGTCGTTAGACAGAGTTAATGTGGCATAAAATAATGAAAACATAACAACAATAAGAATAACAACAGGGGTGAGATCTATAAGTATTTTTCTTCCTCCCGCTCCTATTCTTGGTTAATCATGTACAATATTGTAATTACCAATGAAAATATCTTAGACAATTCTATTCACATACATTTGATAATAATGTTTTATGTGCTTTTCACTAAACTCTTAAGACCAAAAACCATAGTCCACCCTTACACTTTCTACCTCGGGCTGTCAATTTCTCAACTTTCTCTTTCCATCTTCTTTCCACTCTCTCGGTTTCTCTGCCAAATTACAATTTCAAATCACCAGTAGACCTCCGCCGGTTACTGCTTGAGTGTTCTCCGGAAAAGTCCAAATGTACCTCGTCTCCGCTTGCCAGATCACCGGGAAAAAAAATCTCTCTTTAGAAGAAAAAAAAAACCTGGGGAAGAAAAAAAGCTTGAGAAAGGCAGGATGTATAAGTGAAAACATGGCTCTGTAACGGCAAAGTTTGGTGATGTTATTGGGGTTTGACAGGGGGAACTTTGCCGCCGGTGACTAAAAATCTAACCTTTTATTAAATGTTAGCGGTGCCATCTGGGCTGGCACATAGGCAGCCGCTGGAGAAGCCATTTTACAAAACTATTATTAACTTTTCACAGCGACGAACGTTTCCGGGAAATGCTTACGATTTCACCGACGATGAAAATGCAAAGACAGGAGACATATCAAGCCAATTAGACCAGAGAGAGAGAGACCAGAAGGAGAGAACATGGAGAGAGAGAGAGGGACTGGGTTAGAGAGAGAACAGAGATAGAGACCACGGAGAGACAAGAGAGAGATCAGAGAGAGAGACCAGAGAGAGACCAGAGAGAGAGAGACCAGAGAGAAAGATCAGAGAGAGGGAGACCAGAGAGAGGGAGACCAGAGAGAGAGACCATGGAGAGAGATAGAGAGAGACTAGAAAGAGAACAGAGATAGAGACCACGGAGAGACAAGAGAGAGATCAGAGAGCGAGACCAGAGAGAGACCAGCAGAGAGAAACCAGAGAGAGAGACCAGAGATAGACCAGAGAGAGAGACCAGAGAGAGAGATAGAGAGACACTTGAAAGAGAACAGAAATAGAGACCACAGAGAGACAAGAGAGAGATCAGAGAGAGAGACCAGACAGAGACCAGAGAAAGAGACTAGAGAGAGAGACCAGAAAGAGACCAGAGAGAGAGACCAGAGAGAAAGACCAGAGAGAGAGGGACCAGAGAGAGAGACCATGGAGAGACAAGAGAGAGACCAGGGATATACTAGAGAGAGATATACCAGAGATAGACCAGAGGGAGACCAGAGAGAGACACAAGAGACCAACACCAAGACCAGAGAGAAACCTGAGAGAGACCAGGAAGAGACCAGAGAGAGAGCAGAGACGAAGAATAGAGAGACCAGGGATAAGAAGACATGAGAGAGACTGAGGGCAGAAAGAGAGAACCAGGGACAGGGAAACCAGAGAGACCAGATGGAGAAAAACACCAGAGTATTTCAACAAAAGGTCAAAAAACACAGGGGTTTATAATATTTTGAAAAGAGCCCAAAGAAAAGCATCCACTTGATTTGATTTTAACTCATTTTTGACACCTTAGTCCCACATGTATGTTCCCCTCCATAGTGCGGTGCCGCTGACAGACACCAGCACTCAACATAAACACACTAATGGTCCACAGATACCAGGACAGACATATGGTCGTGTTGTCAAGCGAGTCCCACTTCCAAACTGAAGTTGATCGGTTACGTTTCAGACCCAGGCATTCATCAGAGCTTCACGGACTCCTCTCTGGGATGGAGATATTGATGAGACATTATTACATTTTTAATAACAGCTTTCTCTGGTCCACCGCGAATTATGGAACTTAACAATGTCTTTGTTGGATCGATACAGTTATAGGTTGCTCATTATTGCTGTAATTGTCCTGGTTTAGTCCTGGTTTAGTCCTGCTTTAGTCCTGTTTTCAGTCCTGATTTAGTCCTGGTTTAGTCTTGCTTCAGTCCTACTTTAGTCCTGGTTTAGTCCTGGTTTAGTCCTGTTTTCAGTCCTGATTTAGTCCTGGTTTAGTCTTGCTTCAGTCCTACTTTAGTCCTAATTTAGACCTGCTTTAGACCTGAATTAGTCCTGCTTCTGTCCTGCTTTAGACCTGCTTTAGTCCTGGTTCAGTCCTGCTTTAGACCTGCTGTACACCTGGGTTAATCCTGCTTTAGACCTTCTTTAGACCTTCTTTAGACCTGATTTAGGCCTGAATTATTCCGACTTTCAGTCCTGATTTAGACCTGGTTCAGTCCTGCTTCAGTCCTGCTTTAGACCTGCCGCGGACCTGGGTTAGTTCTGCTTTAGTCCTGTTTAAATCCTGGATAAGATCCTTCTTGATCCTAGTTCCAATCAGCTCTAAAATGACATAAGCAAATACTTTCTTTTGCCTTGTTACGAGGCAGAAATGGTTCAGACCGACATTTGAAACTTCTAACACTGAGAAGCACGAAAGTACGTTTTTTAAAATAACTTTAAAATTACAATTGCAAATCTCCCAGACT